GAACCAGATGATGTATGAAACAGAAAATGCTGCCATCTCTGACCCAACTATGGAGCCATTATGGACTCAGCTGTGGCCAACAGTCATGTAACAAACATACAGAGTTTTCGGCTGAACTGCAGGCAGTGTTTACGCAGAGCATAGAGGAGACAAGTATGAAAATAGATTAAGAATAAAGGTTGTTAAATACACAGTCTAGAGTTGGTAACGTCTGTGCTCAGTTGCAAAAACGTTGTTCTTGTTGGTTAAATTATTTCCAATTTTTGCACAATGAACAATCCAAAAGTTCAACTGTTTTTCATGACTGATGGCCTTATAGCAGCACAAAAGACACTTCTAAGTTCTCTCTCCTTTTCGTTCTGTTTCTGCTGAAGTGCAGGACTTTATATTGCAGTGAAAAATCCTTGATTGTTTCTCATCAGAGCGTCTGCTTCCCTGTTTCAGTCTCCTCTGGACGAGCCGGTGGTTCTGACGGATGAAGTGATTTTTCCTCTCACCGTCTCTCTGGACAAACTCCCCGTCAGCACCCTGAAAGTCAAGGTCAGTCACTTGTGAAGGCCTTTCTAGACTCCAGCTGATGCTTGGTGAAGTATAACAGAAGTCCAGGAGCTGCAACATGCCAGAATACCAATGAAGTGCAGCACCTCTCTTTAGATTTTAAGCACTACAGCACAAAACACATTGACTATTAGACATTAGAGCTCCAAAAATGAGCAGAATAATTGATTAGTTCACAACGTTTCTGTTGTTTCCAAATCAAAATGGTAAATATTTTCTTGAGCTGGAGAATTTTTCAGATTTTCTTTGTTTTATGTGACAGAATGTTCAAGATCTTTTGGACTGTTGAAATGTTCATAGTTGTACAATAATGGATCTATAAATATTAGAAGTAATACAAAGATTAATGCAGTTAATGAATTCTCCAGTACGAACCCTGAAGAATGACCCAGAACCCTTAAAAATAAATAAATAAATGTGCGAGAGCAAAAAGTTGCAGCTGCAGTTAATATTTTCTGTCAGTTTTTAAATGTGAACGTCACCAAACATGGACTAAAACTCTAATTAACACAAGACCAAACCAGGGTTCAACTTTCAATGAGACCAAAGCAGGGATAAAATATTCGTAGGTTTTGTCTCAAACTGGGGTTAAAATATCTATAAATACTTAACAAAACAATACCTACAACACCTGTTAATGCTGGGCCAAACCAGTGTTAAAGCTCCAGAGAATAATGGACCCAAGCATGGCTCAAACTGAAGTAAATGTTGGTCCAAATTAGGAAAAAAACACCAGTGAGCTTTGTCCATAGGTTGTGCAATGGGAGATTTATTTAGATTTTTGTTAATATGACAGAAATTTGACGATCTTTTCATTTTGGATTTTTTGCATTCAATTTATTCATCAAAGAGAAAAACAAAAAATTGATGAAAATAAAATAAATTCTCCACTACACACCTCAAAAAGCAGATCAAACCCCTTAAAAATAACATGTTAGAACAAAAACCTGCAGCCACACTTAGTAGTTTCTGACATTTTTGGAGAAAGCTGTTTTATTCACATCTAACCCACCGAGATGGACGTAATCAAGAATAGTGAGAATCTACAATACTGGAGGAAAACGTCTTAACAGTCTGCAGACCACAGACGGATATAAATGACCAAAGGCTCAAACGCCACAGAAAACTGCACTGAGATGAGTTATTATTGAAACACTGGGGTGAAAGGTGTCAGCAAACCCAGGTGTGACCCAGAAAACCGGCTTCGACTTGTGCTGTTGAGACTCTTTGGTTTTGTAACGTTGCAGGTGATGGTCACGGTGTGGAAGAGGGAGGCGGAGAAGGTGGAGGTGCAGGAACTCGGCTACCTGAGCGTCCTGCAGCAACGAGAGCCGACACACACCTTCAGACATGACCTGAACACCTTCAAGGCTCAGGGTAAGCACGTTTGTGCTTCTCTACCTGTTTGCATCTTTAGTTTGTAGCCGCAAATCAGAATCAGCATCACGTTCCTGCTCAGAAAACAAGCAGGTGTCAGTGCTGCTTGCAGTACCGGATACAGTCACATGGGGGCGATGCTTCACCAACAAAAGGCCTTGTTGGTTCATCATAACATCCAAAACGTAAATCACTACATGCATGGAGCTCATTGTATTTCAGTACAGGGACGTTTGTATCACAGAGGATGTAAAAAAATACAAAAAATGACCAGAAATGTTATTTAAACAGGTCTTGGAGTGAACAGCATTGGTTTGCATAATGCAGGTTTACAGAAGTGACAACAAACCGGTTCAGTTCCATTTAAATGCCAAATGATTCTAAACCATAATACGTCTCGAAAACTGCATAATTTCTACGTGAAACAGTCGAATATTTTTAAAAACAAAGACTTCAGAGTTACTGAAAATTCAAAGTAGAAACAGAGTCCACCTGTGATTTACAGTCGAGCTGGTTGAACATGGTTATAAAATGAGCTGTGAACGCCACCACTTTCTCAGTTCTGCACCTATGGACCATCTCCACATGGAGAAGAACTGCCTGAAAAGTCAGACTGCGAGACTTTGCAAAGATGGAGAAGGATACAGGAAGATCAGTAACCAACTAAAATTCAGTGAAATACAATAGCGGCAGTAATCAGGAGGTATAGAAGGAGCCATAGTAGCACTGATCAGGGCTGCAGCGGTCGTCCTCCCAAAACGACTCCACAGACAGTGAGTTACTTTCACTATGTGGCTGTGAAAAACAGACAAAGGCAGCTGCTTTAGGTTTGGCACCGAGGTTATCAGTGGAAACCAGAGATTCTGTGAAGGACACTTAACATAAACCTCAATAGACAGAGGACAAGAAGAAAATCTTTGTTAACTGATCGATACAAAACTACAAGATTAACTTTTCCCAAAGAATGTGAAAAGAAGCCTGATGAATGCTGGGAGAGCATTCTTTGGCCACAAACATAAATTTGCTGATGGAGTCCAGCATGTTTGGTCTGAACCTGACCAGAGCTTCCACAGTGGATGCGTAGTCCTGACAGTGAAGCACGGAGGTGGCAGCATGATGATATGTGGCTACATGAGGGCAACAGAAGCTGGGGAGATAATATTTATAGAGGAATATCTGTGGATTGTTAAGACAACTTTCAGGAGCAGAATGAAGGTAAACCATGTCGGTACATTTTACTTTCTCCAGAACTAAACCGTTATCAGACTTAATGAGATGAGTAAAACTGTATTTTAGTCACAGTTTGAGTGTAAATCTTTTGAGATGGCGTTGAGGTTGTGTTCACTCTTCTTCTTTTGGCTTTTGACAGTCTAAGCAGACAGTTTACGTATTAGTTGTAGCTGTGGGCAACAACCTTTCGCGTGTTTTTGACCGCAGTGAGCACCACTCTGACCGTCCTGCCGCCTCCAACCGTCCGCTGTAAGCAGATGACTGTTTCTGGGCGACACCTCGCCGTCCTGAAAGGTACGACGTCGCTTTTAGTCAGTCTCTGTTACCGATAGAATCCACACCAGAGCACCTACCTAAAATCTTCTTTCTTCTCTCAGTGTTCAATGAGTCGTCTCAGGAGGAGGTGAGTATTCGAGACGTTCGGATTCTACCGAACCTCAACGCCTCCTACCTTCCCATGATGCCCGACGGCTCCGTGCTGCTGGTGGACAACGTGTGGTGCGTACAGACGCGTCTTACGTTGTACTGCATCATGCTCACATTGCTTTCTGTTTCATCACCTTCTCCGAAGTTACAGTTTAATACCCGGCGTTCTGAACTGCGACCTTCAGTTGTGTTCTGTTAGATTTTGTGACGTTACATTCCGTTACATTGTGTTCTGTAACACAACTGCTACTGTGTTGCTTTCAGGTTAGATTTTATGAAGTTGCACTCTGTTACATTATGTGACGTTACGATGCGTTCCACTGTACTATGTAGTGTTCTGTGACATTAAGCTTCATGGCATTACATTCTGTTGTGTTACATTTTGCTCTTTTTCGTATTTGTACTAGTTTTAGACGAGCACTTTTTTTAACTTCTCCTTTTAGAGTAGGTTTGGGCTGCTTTTGGACTGGCTTTGGGCTGCTTTTGAATGGTTTTAGATTAGGTTTGGACACATTTTGGAATAATTTCAAACTGATCTTAGACAAGTTTTACATGAATTTTAGACCAATGTTGGACTGCTTTTAGGCTGGCTTTAAGCTACTTTTGGACTGTATTAGAGTAGTTTTTCACTGGTTTTAGATTAGTTTTTGGATTAGTTTTAGATTCGTTTGGAATTAGTTATAGGCTGCTTTTGGACGGACTAAAAGCTACTTTTGGACTGGTTTTAGAGTAGTTTTAGACTAGTTTGGAACTAGTTTTGGGCTGGTTTAAAGCTAGTTTTGGACTGGTTTTCGATTTGTTTTAGACTAGTTTTAGACTAGTTTGGAACTAATTTTGGGCTGCTTTTGGACTGATTTTAAACTACTTTTGGACTGGTTTTAGAGTAGTATTAGACTAGTTTAGGGCTGATTTCAGACCAGTTTTAGGCTGGTTTTTACATTGCTTTCTTGTGTGTTACAGTCTTTTAATTTAGGTTCTGTTGAAATCTGTCAATATGCGTTCTGCTGATATATATTTTCATATATTTTGTCTAATTTATGACATAATAAATTTAGCACTTTGCATTCTTTGACCTGCTACATTACAGTTTTATTCATTTTTACTTCATGTTTTGCCTATATTATATTATATTATATTATATTTTACAGCCACCAGTCCGGTGAGGTCGGCATGGCGTCTTTCTGCCGGGTGGACAGCTTGGCCTGCCGCCTACCCAGCATGCTCAGCGCGTTGGAGGAGCACGACTTCTTGTTCCAGCTGCACCTCAACGACATGCCGCAGGACGACTCCAACGAGGTTCGTGTGGTTGTTGGGACGTTTAATATTATTCCTGCACGATGCAATTTACTTGTTGCTTTTACAGTTGCATTTAGCTGAAGAAGAATCTGGTGACATTTCTTTACAAATTCCTGCGTAAACAAAGTCCATAAGCAAATATTGAGACACGCTGAAGGACGCTATCACCCAACACATGGCTCCTCAGGTTATGTTAATGTTTTTCCTCTGTGGTGAATGTCAGTGTGCTGTTGTGTTTTCAGGGGCTGGAGGTTCCTCTGGTCGCTGTGCTGCAGTGGTCGACTCCCAAGATGCCTTTCACCAACTGTATCTACACCCACTACAGGTCAGACACCAGCTGACTGTCCACAAATACTCCATTACAAGTTAAAGAACAGACATAACATCCGCAACTTGTACTCAAAGTATCAACAGTAAAAGTACTAGGTTCTTCTGACTGACCAGTTCATGTTGAGCTCTTCACTTTTTGCGATGACCCTCCATCATCCTGCAGGTTGCCCAGCATCCGCCTGGACCGGCCGCGATTCGTCATGACGGCGAGCTGTCCGAGCACCGTCAGGGTGAAGGAGCACTTCAAGGTCAAATACGTCCTGCTCAACAACCTGCAGGACTTCCTGGCCGTCCGGCTCGTCTGGACTCCAGAGGGTCAGTGTGGGTTCAAAATCTAGAGAACAGAAAAGCATTTTATCCTGTTGGATCTCGTCCAAGAAGCTGTCTGATAGTTGGTTTCAGGGTAAAATCCTCCTGGAGTCTTCTTCTTCACTGTGACTCAGATGTTCAGACTGATCCCTGTCTCACATTTCTGCAAAGAATATAAAGCTGCAGGTATCAGCTAGTTAGCTTAGCTTTGCATAAACTAGACAGGTTTTGGAGGAGTGTTGGACTGTTTTGCACTTAGTTTTAAACTGGTTTGGTCCTAATTTTGAACTGGTTTTATTCATGGTCTAGGACTGGGTTTCAGAATTAGTTGTGGACTGGTTTAGTCTTGACTTTGGACTGGTTTTGACTTGGTTTTAGACAGTTTGGACTTGGTTTTAGACTGATTTGGTCTGGATTTTGGACTTAGTTTAGGATGTGGTATTAGACTGGTTTGGTCTTGAATTTGGACTGGTTTTGGACTTAGTTCTAAAACTGGTTTTGAAGTTGTTTGGTTTGGAGGTTTTAGACTAGTTTTAGACTTGGCTTTGCACTGGTTTGCACTTGAGTTTAAAGCGGTATGGCCTTGGATTTGAACTGGTTTTGGACTTGGTTTAACACTGGATTGGTCTTGGTTTTGACTGACTTCTAGGCTTTTGTACAAGTTTGCACCTGGTTTTAAACTGGTTTGGTCCTGGATTTGGGCTAGTTTTGGACTGGCTTTGGAGTTGTTTGGTCTTGATTTGGGACTAGATTTAGACTGTTTTTTTAATTGGTTGACACTTTATTTTCAACTGGTTTGGTCTTGAATTTAAACTGGTTTGGGGACTTGGCTTTAGTCTGGATTGGTCTCGGTTTAGGACTGAGTTTAGACTTGGGTTGGACTGGCTTGCACTTGGTGTTTAACTAGTTTAGACTTTAATTTGAACTGGTTTTGGGCTTGGTTTTAGTCTGGATTCATCTTGGTATAGGACAGATTTTTAGACTGTGGTTTTGGACAGGTTTGCACTTGGTTTTAAACTGGTTTGGACTTTAATTTGAACTGGTTTTGGGACTTGGTTTATAACTGGAATGGTCTTGGTTCAGACTGATTTTACACTTGGGTTGTGACTGGTTTGCACTTGATTTTTAACTGGTTTGGACTTAGTTATGGACAGGTTGTGGACTGGTTTTTGGCTAGTTTGGACCTGGTATTGTTTTTGTTTTTGGACGGTACTAAAAGAACTAATTGTGTTTCCTGCTTCAGGTCGCGGTCAGGGCGAGGATGCAAAGCTGGCCGCCGTCATCTGTCACACTCCTCTCAGTAACCTCGGTCACTGTCGCAAAGGAAGCACTCTGTCGTTCAGCGTCGCCTTCCAGATCCTCAAACCGGGACTTTACGAGGTACGTCGGACCTCCTGCAGCTTCAACCCTGCAGCCTGCTGCTTCTTTGTTCACCTCTCTGAGAAAATCTTCTCCTCTTTCTGCAGCTGAGTCAACACATGAAGCTGAAGCTCCAGTTCACAGCTTCAGTCTCAAACCCACCACCTGACGCTCGGCCGCTGTCACGTAAGAACTTCACCTCATCCAATCTGACATAATTTAAACAAAACAGGAAGTGCAAACAGAAAAATTCTTTTCATGTGAGGAGAGCGTCAGGTTTAGCATAAAGCATTTTACGATACCAACAGATGCTGACAACAATGTCTGACCTTCTCTGTCGTCACCATCACTGCGTCCTGTAAGACTCCAACAAACGAAATTCCTCCAAGCTTTTGTTCTTTTTCAGTGATAATATAATGAATACATGCAGCCTTATTTAACACATAGAAGCACATAATCATTCAGCAATTAAATGAGAAATACTGTTTGCTTGAGAGACATCGAAGCCTGAACTTACTATAATGCAGAAAAATGACACCATTTATCAGCCAGAAACTGTAAAAGCAAAGAAATGATTGTTGGATTTTCTGCTTTCCTAAACCAGTCACTGTGATGTGCTGTTCCATCAGGAAATGTAACCAAATCTAAGCTTAAAACTGTGATTTTTCATCAAAATCCCCTTTTTTTCTTACATGTCTCATTAAAGAATTCTGCAAAATTAAACCATTTGCACTAAAAGGATTCTGTAAAAACTAAAAAATTCTGCATTCAATAGCCTATCTGAGTATCCAGGACTGACTCAGCTGTGACCAACAGTCACATGACAAAAATTCAGAGCGTTTTTGGATGAACTGTAGGCAGTGTTTCCACAGAGCGGAGACTGAGAGGAAATTAAAACGTCATGGATCAACAAAATAAATGCAAAATAGCTCAAAAACAGAAACCAGAGGAGCAAGTTGTTGTGAGATACTTCAGCATGGTGAAACCTCTTCCTAAGGCTCATGTGCAGAGTAGAGAGAAAAAGTTCTAAAACTGTAAATAGTTAAATACCTGTAAGTACGTGGAGTTTTTCCAGTGTTGGTAACATCTGTGGACACTTAAATAAAAATAGAAAAATATTGTTCATTTGAATTCACAGCAAAATAATGACGTCATACTGTGCACAAGACATTTCTGAATTCTCTCTCCTGCTCCATGGTTGTGCTGTTTGGTTGTGCTAAAGACGTGTAGGACTTCATATGGCAGTGAAAAATGAACCAACAAAAAGGGGAAAAAAGTGACAGGAGCAAAAACATTAAAATAATAAACCTAAAAGGTGTCGTGTCGTCGCCCTGCAGGTAAAAACAGCCCGTCCAGCCCGGCGGTTCGAGACCTGCTGGACCGACACCAGGCCAGTCTGGGCCGATCTCAGTCCTTCTCCCACCAGCAGCCGTCTCGATCGCACATCATGAGGTAAAGAGCTCCTTTTAGGCCGAGTGGAGAGTCACGTCGCATCGTTATGTCAGGTGTTTGATCGTGTAAGTGTTGTGTTTTCAGGACGGGCAGCGCCATGGAGCGCCGGGCCATCACGCCGCCCGTCGGCTCGCCCGTCGGCCGGCCGCTCTACCTTCCGCCGCAGGACAAAACGCTGCTGTCGCTGGACAAGATCGCCAAGAGGGAGTGCAAAGTCCTGGTAGTGGATCCTGCCAGCTAGTGAGCGAAGAGGGGAGCGAGGAGAGGCTTTTATTTTGAAGGAGACTTGACCTCAAAAGAGGCTTCGCTGCAGGAAACACTGATGAAACTGTGACTCACGGGGAGAGGAGCCGCCGGGATCAAACTTCACATGAAATATTTAATGTATTATCGCATTCTGTGACACCGTTTTTAAAGATCTTGGGTTTTCCTGCTCTTTTAAACAAAATACTAAAAAAAAAAGATCCAAGGTTAGCTGGAAATTTCTGGAAACTTCCATGAAATTCCTGCACATTTTAGCACTGATAATAAGAGAAATGAGGAGAGTGGAGCTTCAGAGTCCAAATCATTTAAGGAAAAGTAGGAAATTCAGATTAAAAATGAGTCGCTGAGTGTCTGTGTTCCTGCTCTTCTTTTTTTAAGGGAGGTTTGTTTCCCACTGCAGGTGAGAAAAGCAGCAACATGCAGCAGAAACTTCAGTTCACTATTTCCTGAAGCACATCAGCAGCTCAGAAGGATTCCCTCTATAACTATCGCCATATTTCACAGGACTTTCTTCCTTTTTTGTGGAAATGAGCTGGAAAATACAGGAGCAGTAAAACAAAGTGTTGTTTCTTAATTCTGTATTATTTAACGTTAGAGATGTTGCAGGAAAAATAACCACAGAGACTTTTGTCTCATCCTTCAGTGTTATTGTCACTCTTATTAGCTTCATTTCGGACAGTTGTGCCTTCTGATTTTGAGCAAACGCAACACAACAGACTAAATAAACTGCATGCAAGAATGATTTATTATTAAAACGATTTCACATGCTCTGCTTTGTTTGATTCGTGTCACATCTGCTCAGTTCACTGCAAGTAAACCTGAGAGGAGCAAAGCTGGAGGTGCTTTTATATTCATTTTTAGTCACAACATTTATTTTTCATTATCTTCAGTACAAGCTGCCCTGTTAAGCACCGTCATTTAAACAGCACATTTGAAACAACAGAGTCAAAGTGGTTTCCGCAAGTTTAAATATTACTGTTAAGACCTGATAATATTATATCAAATACCAACTGATGTGACTAAATATTAGGGCTACAGTATTATTATCTCATTTTTACCAAACAAATTTAATCATTAATGTTAGAAATCCTTTAAAATTGTACATGAAAAACCAGAGAATCAAAGATTCAGTGTAAACAAGCGTACCGACTTGTTGGTTTGTGCTTAATTTTACTACTTGACATTTTTTATTCACATTTACAGGCATGTGTGCAACTGCACTTGTACAATTTTGAGGTGCCTGTACTTTAATTTTATTTTAATCCAGTTGACATCCAGATTCTTTACTTTACTAAATGCAACTAGATGTAGATTAATAACACCAAATATAATCAGAATAGAAACCATGGTGTATTGTTGGGTATTAAAGACTTTTGATCATGTGAAGAAAATAATTCAAAACTGGCTTCACCTTTAAAAGCTGATAAACATGTTTATTTTTTTAAACCAATAACATGACTTACTTCTTCCACTGCTGGCACTTTGTCTTCCTGAGTTAAAACAATCTATCAATAGATATGTTTTACTCAACCGCAATTTAGTTAAAAAATAAACAACCGAATGAATGAATTGATGTTAGATGGCCACGCTGTTCTCGATGTGTGTCGGACACAGGTACGGATACGGCATCTCCAGCTGGCTGTTGCGCTCGGCGATGTCCTCAGAAATGGCGGCGAGTTGAGCCTGCACTTCCTCCACCAGCCTGCGGTGGGCGCCATCCGCAAAGATGGCCTCCTTGTAGCAACACAGAGGAACCTGCGGAGGGAGACGCACACACCAGTTTTATGCTACGAATAAAACAGCAGCTACAAACTGTACGTGAAAGATGGACGTGGCCACTGTGGCGGACCCTTTAAAACGGGATTCATCGTCTATTTTAGTCTAAATGGGGACAAAATTTACTAAATGAGCATCATGCTGAATTGAGGGAGTCTTGAAACTAGCAAATAGGACCACAAAGTCACTAGGAAAATGTTTATGGACATTAGGAGATGAAGTGAGAAGTAGGCTCATTTTACACAATCAGAGCTCTTTGTGCAGCCTGAGGAGTCGCCGCCCTGCTGGCTGTTAGAAAGAATGCAGGTTTCAGAGCCGGAGGCAACTTCTATTGTTTATATACAGTTTGTGACAGCAACAAACTATAAAATCAAGCAAAAATAACTAAATATCTGCTGTTCAAATGTACAAAGATAAGCATGGTTTTACTTTATGAAGACATTTAGTCATGAAAATGTTTAAATTCTACAAGAAACTGTTTTTGATAAGCTTCTTATTTAAATAATAATAATAACAGGAAGAACCATCACATTTTTGACTTTTTGAACATATCATGTAAAAGTTCTTTCAGAAAATTAATCCAGCAGAGCAGAGAGAAAAATAAAACAGTGGATCAATACAGTAGATGCAGCATGGTTTTAAAAACGATGTACGGAGGATTAAGTTGTTGGAAGATACACCCAGCATGGTGAAATATTGAGTTATTGTGGGAAGTAGAGTAAAAAAAAGTTTGTAATAGCTGTAAAAATGTAATATTGTTATTATTATTGTTAACACATGTGGACACTTTGAAAAAGATTGCACACATTAATTACATTTTTTGTTTTTGTATCATAAATAATCAAAGAAATTAAACTTTTATTTAATTATGTTGTAGGTTTTTAAATGTATGGCATTATAAGTACGTCACACTGCACAATAGACAGCACTCTACTTAAAAATAAACACCAGGTTTGTTGATTGCAGGTGAAAATCTAAGAAATTCGAAGATGTATGGCATTTTAACTGTGTGCTACTGCAGAGAAGACATTTCTTTCTACTTGTAGTCATGGTTGTTCTGTTTCCATCGCGGTGCAGGATTTTATATTGTGGTGAAAAATGAGCCACAGTGAGGAAAAGAATGTGACACGATCAGAAAACAAAAAGGCCGTGGAGCTCAGAGGGTTCACATGTTCTCACCACAAACAAACTTTTAGCAAAAAGAAGACTTATGACTCTCGTAGAAAAGCTCTGATCTGAATTGTTTTACGGGGTGCGTTTGATTTTTTTTCAGGGCGGACGGAGCCTCACAAAGTCGACGGCGGGTTGCGACAGCATCGTCAGCGACATCAGGATGCGACAGGTGGAGCTGACGTCGGGCAGGAAGGTCAAGATGTCGTCCTCCGTCACGCTGCCTTTGACCTGCGGAGGAGGACGCAACATGGCCATCGGACAGTTGGGCATCCAGAGGGCGAAGTCCAGCTGAGCGGAGGAAGGAAACGGCGTTAAAGGGTCTTTTTATGTCGAATTTAGACAAACTAAGCACAAGAGGATAAATCTAAGCAAACGCAAGCATTCAATCCTGTGAAGTTTTGTGAGCTGAATGAAGATTGTTCAGTTTTCTGGTAAATCCCAAAAATTTACAGTCAAAACGATCAACGGTTATGCGTTCAGTGCTGTGTTTGTAGTCTGAACCTAAAACCTTCCTGCTAGTTTGAAAGACATCTTAAAATTATCCTCCAAAATGAAATCCACTTGTGAGAAATTATCTGTAAAAACAAGACTCACCTGATTTTTAACTTTCTGACAGTCCCTGAACTACTCATGTTGTGTTGGAAGAATAAACCAAATATTTTGTTATATCTACTTCAAAAATCTGCTAAAAACTAAACCGTTAAAAACAGATTCTGTAAAAATCTAAAACTTCTTTGCTCGTTGACACAAACATGAACTCAAGACCGACTCAACTGTGACAAACATTTTCAAGAAAATTTTGATTTATGTTTTTAAGGGTTTCTGTAACATCCAGACACTTCAGTAAACCTGGAAAACACATTTAGATTCAGACATTTTCGAAAACCTGAAATGAAGTTAATGATTTGAGCCAGGATTGAATTGTCTGTTTTTTTCCCCTTACTGAACATAAAAGCTTCCTGCGTTCTGTTTCTTATCACAGACGGGTGGATAACAGGTTTTTATCTGCAATTTTTTGAGTCATATCACAGATTTGATCTGTTTTGTTAAATTGCAGATGGTAACTAGTAGAATCAGAGAAAATTAATTTACGAGTTAGCCATAAAAATGTTTTTTAAAACCCAATATGTCAACATGAAAAATCTGTATTTTGCAAATGGTAATTCATTACTCTTACAGCATTTAACTGTAAAACTACAAATGTTTACTTTAAATCAGTACAAAAAAAATAATAAATCAGCATTTTACAGATATTTGTTGTATTTTGAAAGAAAAAAAAAAGTATATTAAGACTTATATTAAACAATTAATATTTTTAACTGTTTTATTTTACAGATTTTCTGAGTTTTGTTTAATTAGAGATATTATTGAACACATTTTTTTTTTTTTTTTTTTTAATGGTCAAAAGCTGTAAATAATGTCCACAACAAAAATCTATACTTTTTTTTTACAAATTGTTATTATATTGTTTTACAAAATGTGATGGTAAAATAGTTTTACTGTATTTAAATTGCTAAGAAATCTTTACAGTCTTCCATTACTGATATTGACACGTACGCTGTGAAAAAAGCTGATTGTTTTTGTTATAAGTTTGTTTATGTTGTTGTTGTTGTTGTTGTTGTTGTTGTACTGTAGAAGTGTGTCTGTGCAGTGACTCACCTGTGAGAAGTTAATAGCAGCGTGCAGAGCTGAACACGAGAAGATGATCATCGTGACAAACTTGGACACTTCAGCTCTGGTGTTGAAGGACTGAGGGAAACCTGCACAGACGTGTACAGTTTCATGTATATATTACATTAATTTATGTACAGTTTTACGTCAATATTTACACTAATTTATGTATACATTTACAGTTTTATGTCTATATTTACATTCATTTGTGTACATATTTATAGATTTGTGTACACATTTAAATATTGCTGTAGATGTTTGTACACACTAACAGTTTCATGTACAGGTTTAACACATTTGTGTCCATATTTCCACTGCTTTGTGTTCACATTTACACTAATTTGTAATTTCATTGTTTTTAAGTGTTTGTATTCATGAACCCTGTCGTGTAGATTTGTGTGCACATTACTTGTTTGTTTACAGATTTACAGTTTAATGAACACTTTGAAAGATTTATCTACAAAATGTTGATTTGTGTGCACATTTATAACACGTCCTCATTTGTCAGTAAACTAACTTTTTAACACACTAACTACCCACACTTGGAGTGTCTGTGTATACACGTTTACAAAAACAGTGTAGACAGTTTAGAACAACAAACAAACAAACAAACAAACAAACAGAACCTGAGTTGTGCGTGAAGCCGTGTGTGTTGATGTCGGTGATCCAGCCTTGAAGCTCAGAGTCGAGCTGAACGTCGTCGTCTTTGCTGTAATACAACTGAAGCCAGCTGACCACAAAGCTGCCACACACACACACACACACACACACACACACACACACACAGAACAGGGATCTTGAGGATGTATCACAGTATTTTCAGTTTGTAATTTACTGTGTTTGTGTGTTTGTTTACCTGTGCAGCACTTCCCAGATCCTCAGTGCGTCCTGAGCATAGTAGCTCTGCGGCAGGTTGTCCAAGCCGCGGTCCTTCAGGTCGTCGGGGACGCACAGCGACCGATAGGTGATCCTGGCCGAGGCCCGTGACAGCAGGACGGGTATCGTCTTCAGACCGGAGCCCATGGCCTGGAGGGCCGACATGAGCACAGAGTGAGGAGTTTAGAACGAAAACAAACAGACACAAAATAACCACAGAAAGATTTACAACAACCAGATGAAGACACAAAGCAACCACATGGAGTGATCGCATAAACACAAACTGAACAAAAAGTGATGTAATACAACCAGAAAAAGACACAAAACAACCATTTTTCATGGTTAGAATCTAACAGGTGAGGCTGTACCTGATCAAACACACCGCCAGCTGCCAGCAGAGACCCTCGAGCCTGCAGGTTTATCTGCAGCAACGTCTTAACATGTGGCATCAACAGCTGGACACAAGAACAACCAATCAGAGACTAAGAAATGACTCTGCACAAAGTAACCAAAAATAGCTGCAGAACAACCAGAAAAGACATAAAACAACCAGGAAACGACACAAAATAACACAAAAGAGACACAAAACAACCACCAAAAGACAAAATGATCACATAAACACAAAACAATGATAAAAAAGACAAAAAAAATAACTGCTAAAAGACACAAATCAACCAGAACAAGACACAAAACAAACACAAAACAACCGCCAAAAGACACACAGTGATCACATGGACACAAAGTGACAACAAAAAGACACAAACCAACCATAAACAGTCACAAAACAACCAGAACAAGACACAAGACAATCACAAAATGAGACAAAACAACAAACAACCAGAAGACACAAAGTGATCACATGGACACAAAACGACAACAGAAACAATCAGAACGATTTGAACACTGCAGGCATCTGGACCGGCTGTGGCTGTCTGAGGTGTGGTGTCGTTGTGGGTCCGGTGCGGCCCGGTGTTGTGTTGCTGTACCTGGTGCAGCGGGTGCACCTGGGGCAGCTGCCTGAGCGTGGCCACGCAGCACAGCTCCCCCATCAGGTGGCTCTTCAGGTAGTGCGACACCAGCTGGTGACACTGGGAGTCGGCGCCGCGCACCCAGATCTTGGCCAGCAGCCAATCAGAGGCAGCGTCAGAGGGCAGGAAGACGGGGTTCTGAGGGCCCGGGTTCTGCTGCAGCTGAGGAACCGATGATTACAGAACGTCTGAGAGGCTCAGCATGAGGAGAACTTAGCAGAACAACCAGCTCACTTTAGTCGCCACACTGCAAAACATGGACGTCTTTAACCAATTTTAATGGTATTTTCTGAATAATTTACTTTTGTTTTACAGCATCTCTCAGTTTAAACACAATACAAATAGTAAATAATAAAAAGCAAACAGGTCGGCGCACTAAACATGTACGTTAAGTGTAATGTTTTGATCATTTTACTGAAATTTTCAGTTTTGTTTGTTTTTTTTGTTTTTTTTTACAAAAATTAACTTTGTAAAATCACAGAATATAAACCAGTTATATAAATTCACTACAAAAACTGGAAATAATGGTCACATCAAAAATCTGTATTTTTACAAAATCCGTCATTTGTCTCACATTTTACTGTAAAATTACACTTTAAAAGAAAAAACAAAACAAAACAAACTGTAGTTAAATCAGCAAAAATTACCTTGATTTTACAATTTTCGTTTATTTAAAAAAAATTCTGGATTAAGAGTATATTGGAACTGAAAAATAGTTGTTTTACAGATTTTTCCTGTTTTGTTAAATTACAGTAAAATCAATGAAAAAAAATTTGTATTTTAACAAACAGCAATTTCTCATTTTATTTTTTTAAAATAAATGAGCAAAACCTTATTTAATGGATATTTTCCATTATTTTAAAGAAAAAATATGTATATCAAGATTTTTTTTAAATAAATTGCTGAATTATTTTGTAATCGTTTTATTACAGATTTAGTAAACAATGTCTAAATAAAAGATCAGTATTTTTAAAAATAGTATTTCTTTCAATACCAATGTTTGACTATAAAACAATATATTTGTAACTGTATTTTAATTTACAAAAAGCAATTTTTAGTTTGCAATTACTTAGAATGAAAGAAACGTGTTTATTAAGGACAGAAAAAAATGTAAGTAATTTTAAATAGTTACTGTTAAGTTAAATTATTCTAATAAAATCAGAAAAAACTATGAATTTACATGTTGTCTTTAAAAAAAAAGTAGAAATAAATAAAATAGAAATATTTATACTATTTAAAGGTATTTTACTTTCCCCTTGCTCTCAGAGTTTCTTTCTTTCTTTCTTTCTTTCTTTCTTTTTCAGATTTTGTTTTGATGGTGCTCATTGGCTGTATGAGGAGCCCACCTGGATGGCGATGGGCACCAGCTGATCCTGCTGGTTCAGGTGAAGGAGGCACAGCGGCGCCGACAGGTACGTCTGCTTCCCGTTGACCACGTTGGCCGGGATGCCGTCCAGAACCTCGTAGTCCAACAGGTAAATCCTGCCGCTCTGCACATCACAAAAATCTCAACACACGCAGCTGCAAACACACAACACCTGGGAGTCAAAGAAGTGCACACACACACACACACACACCTGTAGCTCGAGCTGGAGGGAGGAGCCTTCAGGCAGGAAGGGGCGGAGCAAGTCGGTGGTGACGGACAGGTTTGGAGGGACGAGGTGGATCTGACGCAGCATCAGAGGGTTGCAGCCATTCAAACACTGGTGGCCGAAATACCAGTCGTCCTTCCAGTGAGCCTGAACGAACCCTGAGAAGGAAGATTAAAGCTTAACAGTGAACCAGGACGAGTTCACCTGCTTCATGGGAGTAAAAGAGACGCAAATGAGACGCAAAACAACCACAAAGAGACGCAAAACAACCGCAAAGAGACGCAAAACAACCGCAAAGAGACACAAAACAACCGCAAAGAGATGCAAAACAAGCACAAAGAGACGCAAAACGACCACAAAGAGACACAATACAACCACAAAGAGAC